CTACAAGGTTAAACCAAAATCTCTTTGGCTTGTAAGTGTCCAAGCCGGCAACTGCCCTAGGCCCGTCATTTCTGTAATCATTAAGCGAGCCTAACATGCATGTACACTTCTCTTTGAATACGCATAGTATGGAGATCTATACAGAATATTCAAGATCGACTAACATTTTGAGAGGAAAGTCCATGTTGTGTTTTGGATTGTTTTAGCATTCAGACAGCTCCGTTCCTCAATAGCAGTGCTATATTATCAGTAGGGTCTGATTTGTGAACATCTGCAATTTACATAATATATCTAGATGTTCAGATATTCAGATATTCTGATATTCAAGTTAGATATTTAGATATTCAGATGTTATAGAAATGGAGAAAAGGGAAGGTGGGGGTGGCAAGGGAAGATGAGAGTGAGGCGCTTCCTGATATTCGCCACCGTGAAAGAAAAGAGGCAGATATCTGAATATCTGAACATCTAGATATTATGTAAATTGCAGATTTTCACAAATCAGACCGGTCTCTATATTATTGCTACTCATATGTTAAATTACCAAGGAAAATAATACTAAACAGTATTCCTGTTACTAATAATAGGACTATTCATTAAATTAGTATTACTTTTTAGTAAAGTAATAATAGAAAAAACTTTTCAAAAGAATATTTAAAAGATTTTCTGAATTCTTTATAGATCACAAATGAATCTTTTACGCAAAAGAAAACTTTTTCAACTATTTTCCTGCATTACTCGCTCGTTTCTCAGATTCTCTCAGTCTATACAACACTAGTTCATTATTTTCCAAACCGATTTGAAACTATACATCACCGAACATTGAGATTTATCTTCAATTTGGGTAAAGTGTAGAATATGATCATGCATAAACGTAGTATTAAATAGAAAGGCGGCATCCGTATTCAAAACTGGTTGCTCATCATTCAACAAAATCCAAACACTTCTATGTCAACATTTATCAATAAAATTGACTTTCAACTTCCTTTCACACAGCATTATGATATCAGGTCTTTTGTACAATATCTGCTAGATGGATGCACAGTGGGCATTTTTCTATAGCTCAGGTTACAACGCCGTTGAAATTCCAACACCGTCAAAAGTAATACCATGCCTTAATTAATTTAATACCGAGTAAATTTAGCAACATTTATTCAACAAAAGCTATAATAGACAGTGCCGTCGTACAATAACAAAAAATTAATTTCAAATTTTTCGCAATTTCTGCTTTGGCTACAGAATAGACAGGAATTTCCACAGCAGAACATACATAAACATGCAGGGTGTTGCAAAACCTTTACACCCCCTGGTTCGACCTTTAGATCAAATGATTTCATTAAGTATTTTATACCAAATTGAAGCCTGTAAAAAACTGCGTCGATGAGTGCAATTAGACTAAATATTGTCTATTACATTATTAAAAGATCTTACACTATATATCAAAATGTCATAGATCCTATAATGTCGAATATATGAAAAAACGATCATCAGTACCGTTCTCAGAAAACTAACATACAATGTTAGTAATTTTATTGCATGTATAGGTAGCCTGGACGTTACTCTACAAGATTATGCAAGTCCCAGCTCTCCAGCTATGGTCGTTCTGACAGGGCTTGCTTTCCCCGAGCACGTGTCTATCTCCGAGTAGACATCTCTGGGAACCTGGAAATGCCATGGAATATAGGTAATCGACTACGCTGAGCATAGTGGGAACATTTGTTTTGTATAGAAATTAATATAACTTCGCTAGAGGCATTTTTGTGAAAAACCGGTTTTTTGTCTATTACCAGCTAAAATTAAAATCCTTATATCTCGCTCAAATCTCATACTGAATCAAGGAAATACAATGCGATAAAATTACTAACATTGTATGTTAGTTTTCTGAGAACGGTACTGATGATCGTTTTTTCAAATATTCGACATTATAGGATCTATGACATTTTGATATATAGTGTAAGATCTTTTAATAATGTAATAGACAATATTTGGTCTAATTACACTCATCGACGCAGTTTTTTACGGGCTTCAATTTGGTATAAAATACTTAATGAAATCATTTGATCTAAAGGTCGAACCAGGGGTGTAAAGGTTTTGCAACACCCTGTAGAAACAATTTCTCTTGTTTCACAACACTTTATAAATACAGTTGCATTAGTCCTTTTTTTCATCACTTCATTAAAATAGAGAATTTTGTCGAAATTCCATTACGTCCTTCGGCAATAATATATATAAAAAACACGAATCACTGCAGGTCAATAATGGCCTAATCCAAATTTTTGTCGAAATTCCTATGATACTATTATTTTTTGGCGAAATAGTTGTAAAAATTCCAAAAATATTACTGCAACCAAATGAATTCCTGCCAAAATTCTAAAAGAAGTAAACCAGTCCAACTCATCAATTAACTGACTGTTCTTAAATGAGCAAAACGGCTTCTTAAATCATGTCTAACCCTATAAAAAAATATTTATTATGTGATGCATTTTTAAATCTTGCATTTTTAAATTTTTAAAACAAAAAATATTTGTAATACGTAAGCAATCCGAGATCAGTTGAGAGTATGTTACTTGTTCACTCAAGAAATCTTCTTAGAAACACATGAAGAACTGTCTTCAATTAAATTGATAGACTTGAATGATTTCAACCAAGAAGTTAAAAACTATAATTTTTCAAAACACGAACAGTATACAGCATGAAAAAATTTATCAAGCTAAACTATTAGTGCACAACAACGTGCATTACCGCCATCAACATATATGATGTAGAACACATTGAAGAAGTGCCGTTATTACCGCCGATTCGTCATATTTTAAAATTGGACGTACGGTCTGTGGTAGTAGATAAACTTGTAACTGTGTGTAACAATGGAATTTCGTCTGCCTACGAAGTGGAGTCACTAAGTAATTTAGAAATTCTTAATCCACCGTCTGAAATATTTTCATAAATTGGATCTATATGAACTAAATGGAGTTTACTGCGCCAATTTAACCACTTGTATCACGAAGTTAGAAGGTAAATTTTAGGTGAATTTTCAGAGATTTTGTTTTCGCTTCCTAGCAAAAGTGCCTATAAAGGAGTACAAAATGTACATTCACAAGTTTAATTTTCTATGTTAGTCTAGTGAAAGTGTGCAAAGAAATAATATTTTTCTCATTTTCTTTTTCTTTACCACCAGCTGTCGAAGATACAATCACGAAACGAGAACTGCATAAATTTAAAAATCATTGCAACTTCCGTCAAAAGATTAGTGAAACGATCGTCCACGGTACAATTGAGACATGCAATTTATGGTACCCAAGTACTTCAGATTATGAAAATATGTCACGATCAATTTTCAAAACTTAGAATTACCATTGAATTTGAAAAATATCGTAAGCGACGGATATCAATGTTTTCTTCGGGTGACAGTCTTCTGCGTCTTCTCTAATTCTCGACCCGTTCTTTCGTAGTCAGAGGCAGTCAGTCAGTTACAGATTAGAAGTTTTCTAGTCTATGAAATGACAGAGAAGTAACATAGCTGAATAGCACGTCTGCCTCGGGTCAATAAAGTTGCGAATTAGTCTGTTTGTTCTACTAAGTACTTTCTCCCGAAAAGCGAAACTTCAGTTTCTAGTGAGAGAAATCCACATACGCGCAATTGAAGATTTCCTGGACTGTGAGAACACTGCCAAACATTCGTGTTACTTTTCTTTTAGTCGCACAGACAGATTTTTCTTTACATTTTTGTTTAGTCGTCATGGCGTCATACGTTAGTTTCAAAATATAAAACAAAACAACGTCCAGTAGTTGACAATGGAGAAATAAATTCAAGAAAATAATTGCATTCGAAAATAAATTCTGGAAGACCGATTAAAAAGCAAGAGTCAACGTTGACGGAACGAGACTCGGGAAAAAGAAGTATGGCTACTTCTAAATAGCAGAGTTTTTCTCGTTCTTCACAGAATGCTGATAAATTTTTAGATTAAATTAGCTTTGGACTTTACACTCTTTTGAAAAACTACACACTTATATGTCGTTTTCGAAATGTATTGTTTCTTGTGAATCAGACTTCGTTGTCTCGCTCTTTATATGGCTGTCGTAAGTTTTTATCGTTCTTATTAGGTCATAATTCAAGATAATGAAATGGAAGAAGATACGTCTGCCATGATACTAAGAATGAAAACCGAATGAAATCAATCGACAGATTATAATTTAAATGAAGTGTATAAGATGTGGCTTATGACATTACAATATCGAAGAAATTTCGTGAGCAATCATCGTTTAGATGAAGTTCTAAGTGAATTTCTTGGTTATCAGATTCCAAAACTGGTGAATGTTGTACACTCTGTGTTGTATTTTGGCTTAAAAAGCTGACGGGAAACGAGATGACTTAGAGCAGTAGCATTACTAAATTCAAGAAAAATTTTTTAATCGTATCTTGCAAATATATCTCTGACATTGAATTTATAATAAGTGAAGATATTATGGTAAATGTTTCAAAGACCAGCTTTATTTGTTAAAATCAAAAAGTCTCATTTTTCACTGGCAAGAAACTTATTCTACGAAATTTTCTTCTGAAAACCCTACTTTCTGCTTGACTCTATACTGTTATATTTTTTATTAGATCCATTACTGATTCGTTTTATTAAATCAATTGAAAAAATTTAAATGAAAGTTGGCAACATATAATCTGTCTGTGAATGTGAGCGTGACATTTGTTTTCTTCGCAAAAGACGTCTTACAGCGAAAAAAGAATCACTCAAGAAAAATGATTTCTGCTAATAGAGCGTTGCAATTTGCCCAGTTCTAGCAGACTATGACAATAGATTGTGGATGATAAACATCGTATTTCTGTTGTGCAGAGCAATAACGCAAGCCCAGTTCTAAATTTTACATGCTTTTAATTATTAGTTTTCTTTTTTAGGATTGAAGAACGAATTCTCGTCTCTCATGTTTAGGCATCATCCAGTCTGTATTCCTGCTTGTTGATTAAGGACCAATCAATCGATATTTATGTTGACTAGATGGTTGTTGTTACAACAACCACTCTGCAAGAAGCTGTTGCATTATTGGTTGCGACGTACAATAGTTTTCAACTGAAACCTGATCCACGTTCAAGAACAGTTCGTTTATTGTACACTGTTCTGTTGAATGAACGAAAATATATCAGCAACAATATTCGTGCTATATTGAATGAATTAAATTACGAAAGTACAAGGCAAGCATTAAAATTGACAACATCAGTGGCAGAATCAGCACCTTCAACAAATACAATTATTTCGTCTAATGTTCCAAGTTCATATACAACTGATGATTCACCAAAAATAATTGAAGATACAAAGAAATCAGAACTAGCGATATCAACGGTATCCACAACGTACCCTTCATCCACGGTTGTTTATGACCCTCATTCAAGTGAATTAATATCGTCAACTCCATTACCCATTCTCTTATCCAATGAAGCAACAACAGACAATAAAAAAAAGTGTACTTATTCCTATATCCAAAACAACAATTGAAAATAAGCAAGATGATCCTATAGAAGCAAATGTATAGGACAAAGATATCGAAGTTATGATTGATCGTAAGGAACAAGGTAGGTCTGTTAAGGTCTCTCTCTCTTTGCTCCAGAAGGCTGCTAATAGTTTTTCACATTTATATTACCGACCGCAATTTATCGATTTTGAAAACTATGAGATAAAAATATAATTTTTTATGGCCGGTAAATGGTTAGTAAAAAACTTCTGAGCCATTTCGTTTCGTTTTGCAGCTTAATTTTTTTTCTCCACCTTTTTTTATTGCTGGAGAGATACTGATTAGTTCATTTTTCTACCTTGGCAGGAGAAACAAAGACACTCATGGCCGAAGATCGTTCTCTGTCTATCAATGAAGAGATGAAAGTTAGCGATGATATGATTTCTCCTCCAAAAACACGTGGTGCTGAAGCTGTTAATAATAAAGCTCAAAATAGAGGAGGTGAACCCAGGCAAACATTTTTTGTAGGTTAACGCACCTATAAACGCGTTAGTTGACACATCTGACGCGTTTTAGCAGTCACTGAACCCGTTAGTTAAACTAAAGCGCGTCCAAATTTCACGCAGAATAACGCCTTTATGAAACAGTAACGCTGAGAAAGGCGGCATATTTTGACGCGTTTAGCAGAACGATTTTACAATAAATTGACGCGTTCGGAAGAGATAACTTGTATTGCGTTTGAACGCGTTAGCAGCGAACGCATCAGATTGTGTTGAAGGTATGGATTGATGCGTTTTCCTGCGTTGAAAGACTGTGAACGCATTTGGATGCGTTAGAAAATGACGCGTTTCAGTAACTCAAGATACGGGTATTCTCAAAGTGAAAAATCGAGCAGACGTTTAGCGGGCGTAGGCTATGCAGTATTGCTAATAGGATTTTGAATCAGAATGCACTGATACATCTTGTTTTTTCTAACCAAGTGCATAACAGGCATAAAATTTCTTTTTACGAAGTGCATTCCAGCCAAAACTCTCAAAAGCAAAAATTCAGAGTATACCTGCACTTTACTTCCGCTTAGTGCACTTATCATTAAAAAACACTGAGGCTAATACGAAGGTAAAACAAGTTTCGCCCATAAGACTGAGATTTCTGTTCTTCTGCTCTTTTTGCCCTTTTACCGCCTACAGAACAAATAAATGAAGGCGATTAAGACGGATTTCTAATAGATCTTTGGTATATAAACAAACTCAAACAGAGTGATGGGGCGATGGACGTAAGAAGCATAATTTGTTCGTTTCGTTCTTTCAGTATTCGTATATCGAAAAAGAAAAAGAAATTTACGGCTGACGGTCTGTCTGCTTAAGTAAGAACACATAAAAAATAAGTTATATAGAAAGAAAGAGAACAATTTCATGACAAACCGAACGACAGACGCTTCTTACGAAATAAATAAATATATTTAAGATGGCTTGTAAATGACTATCATGAAAGAACCAGTTAGATCTTTTCTTCTTTTTTGGACGATATTGAATGCAAAAATCGAGAAAACAATACAATACGAAGTAGCTTGGTTGACATTCTGATGCCTTAATCAAACTAACTGTGGTAGTTAAAAGAAAAGGAAGGGAGTTGTAAAGACTTTCGCTCTCCCGCTCGTCACAAATCTATATTACATGGGGTTTAAAAACCTTGTACCACTATGAAGTTTCACATTGTCTAGGCTTCGTCTAGACAATATCTTAACTGAGATTATCACTTAGAATAATCACCGTAGACGGGTAGGGATAGTTCAGATATTACATTTATCTCAGTTCCAGTTCAATAGCAGTTCTTCTGATTTATTAAAATGTTCAGGAAATGAAGGTTTTATTAAAAAAGTAGAGGAATATTGTGAAGTAAATGATCATTGCAATGTACATGAAATCATATATATTCTTTCTCACTTGGCTGTGTTGTCATTTTAAAATTTATCATCTTCATTTCCCTTTAGCTTATTCCATTTTTCTTCTTATTTGTGAATACGGTATAAACGAAATAGTAGAGTTTCTTACGTAAGAAACAAGTCTAACGTTATTTCTCATTCTTACGAAATAAGTACGTTCTTTCTTAGTAGTCGTTTGGCCGCTATTTTATTTTTCTATTTGACTACGATCGAAACGAAATTTAACGTCTGATGTATAGGTTCCGCTTTCTTTCATACGATGCGAACGAACGAAAATATTGTCATAATTGAATAAATCAAAATAGAACGGAGAAAAGAAATGATTAAAGCGAAACGGTTATTCTCTTTCTTTCTAATATATTTTACTATTGTTTCGTTATATTCGAAGTCGTTTTACCCCGTCACTACTCAAACCGCTTTCTATTCTTCAAATAACTATGGAGGAGAAGTGAATAAATGAACAAATAAATATTGTGTGTCGCTCATGACAAAGTTCATGAAAAGGGCTTTAAGCTTATAAAAATGTGCGGTCTAATAGATTAAGAAGTACTTAAATACCATCGCTTTTAGGTTGACTAGAAATGAATGAATTACACTGTTGTGATGCCGTTCATGTTCCAGTCGTCTGTACCTCAGACGATTGTGTGTTTGCTTCTTAATTCTAGATACCCACATTCGAATCACACCCAAACCATGTAAGTAATACTTATTTTCTTTCATTCTTCGCTTGTTACAAACAATCTTACAAACAGTGAAAACTCTTTGAGTGAGCATGTAGATCCTCTAAAAAAATGTCAGATCAATCCTGTATTTAAAAAATTAATTTTTTTAAATTTAAATTTTTAACGCGTTTAAACAAATCAATTCGGCCAAAATTGATACGGCGAAACACGCTAAAGATTAACGAACATTGACGCGTTTGTGTAGCAGAAAAACTTTGCCTGGGAAGTGTGAGAGGAGGTGGAAGAGGACGAGGACGATGATTTTGTTCGTTTTTTTGTATAGCTGATAATTTTTAATCTAGCTTATTTCTGAAGTTTGATTTAGATTGGTTAGTGCCTTGTTTATACATATCTTTTTTCTTCATCATTTTTACGGTTTGTTATTCTTTTTCACCTGTTTTCGCATCTTAAGAATTTTTTTATTAAATGGTCGCTGATATTCGGAGAAATATCTTTAATTATTTCTTTTATCTGGATATTGATTACGTTAATTGTTACTGGCGTATATAACGCAGAAAATTTGGACTATCTGAAAAATGTACAACAATTTCAAAACAGTGATAAACTCGCCGATCTGCTTTGAAATTTCGACACGTCGAAATTGAAGCGAAATTTCTGCGAATTTAGAAATTCCAATGGAATTTGTAAAATTTTAGAAATTATTTTGGAATTTTGACAGCGTTGTCGAAATTTCGAAAATTATTGGAGTTCTGACAACATCATCGAAATTTCAATACTGTCAAAAGTAATAGCATGGCTTAATTAACGTAATCGTAAATTAGTTTAATAGGGAATGAATTTAGCAATATTTATTCAACAAAAACTACTATTATAGACACTGCTGTTGTACAATAACAAAAAATTCATTTCAAATTTTCAAAGCATAAGTAATTAAATTCAAAGAATACACATAAACATAGAAACGATTTCTCTTGTTTTACAACAAGTTTATAAATACAGTTACATTAGCTAATATTGCACCACCACACCTAATCAGCACTATTACCATCTTGTTTTTTCAATTTTCTATTAAATTATTCTCTTATATATGTGTATGTGTCCTTTCCTTTCTATAGTGTACTTCTTCAATATCTTTTCCTTTATCATTTTCGGTATTCATTCCCCTGCATCATATCACCTTTTCATTTTAGTTCTATAACTATTTTCTTCTCAACATTAGTCTTTTGTTATTTATTCTATATTTTTCTTTTAACGCCGATAAATAGTCTTTTTTTCCATCTAGTAGAGAGTTTTGTCGGAATTCCACTACGTTCTTCGACAACAGTATATACAATGAACACTAGATATCATTGTTATGTCAGTAGTCACTGACATTCCTTCCTCTTTTCTGTTCTGATGACCACCAAGAATGTTGACTCAGTTCTTCTTGAATCAACATTCTTTCATCATATGTATATAGTGTTCGTCTGTACCCACGAAGTAAAAGTGTTCTGATGTGTTTGTGATTTTATTCTTCGAATAAAATTCAGTGCAGGCTAACAAATGGTGCACTAGCCGGCTTACTGTCAATCTAACATCACAGCAAGTACCAACCCAGGTATTGTATTGTTCAACCAAAACACAACGATTCAAAGCAGAAGAACAAGAACGATGGATCAAGATCTCTTCCACCATATCTTAGTGACTTTGACAAAAAGGATACTGTTTGAAACGCCATATAAATTTTCCGGTGCATGCGTAGTCAAGGTGACAAATTGATTGAAACATGTTTTATTTTTATTTCTAAAATGGTTATAATAATGAAATGAGTATTGCTGATCTTTATCAACGGCTGGTTAAAATTGTATAAACTGCGGAATATTGAGGCAAAAAGATTTCAAGAAAAATATTCAAACATAATTGTATACAGTGTAAAAAAACCAAGTGTTCCGAAATACTTTTCTGAATGATGCATGGAACACTTTTAAAAGTAGCCACTACGAGACACTGCTTCTGAATTTGCGCGTTGACATTGTTTTCAAAAACTGTTCGAGGGGGGACACTTATTTAAAATAAGTCTTATCATCGTCTAAAAAAGTACCTCGGAACACTTGTTTTTTTACAGTGTGCTGATGATTCTGTCCATGTCGCCAAAAAAAGTAACTAAATTCAAAATAAAACCGATTTTATTCAAAACGTATATCTATGTTTTCGATACTGAGATTTCAATTGATCTGAATTAGTTACATTTTCTTTTTGTCGATCTGTTGTTCTTGTTTACAGCTGATGCTTAAGAACGACTATTTGTGTATGTTTTTGTTGCGTCTAAGTATTTACGCCATATTCGAATGAATATACAATAATTCAGACTATAGTGGTAAACGAATGAATTAATTTATTGCTAACTGCTCAATGGATTAGTAGTATGATGCGATTGTCAAAAATATTTCGCCTAACTGATTCATGTATACAACCTATTTGCTGATTCGGAGAACCAATACTAAGAAGACTGGCTCAAATATCAGTTTTGAAACTCATCTGTTACACTAACAAAGAATGTGGCATACTTCAATGGACTTTTCTGTTTTTTAATTCGATTTTTCTGGCCTTTGTTTAGCAAATAATAAAATTGAGAAAATCACTGTTCCTCCAATATTGAACAATAACGCCACGATCTCAAATCCGAAACAGAAGCCAAGTTTAATAGTATAGTCACTATATGTTGACGGGTCTGTTGATGTTGTAGCTAGAGAAAACAAGTTTTAACAAGAATGTAAAATATACCAACTTTTCTACTCACTGTTTTGATATTGTTGTACAACTTTGAGATAGTCCAAATTTTCTGTATTATATACACCAGTAACAATCAACGTAATAAATATGCAGATGAAAGAAATAATTAAAGATATTTCTCCGGATATCAAGAGCCATTTTAATACGGCTTCTCTATATACACATGATACAAAATGTGAAATAAGTACAGAACTTCCAAGTAGAATACTTGCAATTACCGAAAAAGCAAGTATTACTTGAGTCGAAGTTGATTATGTACAATAACATTCATTTGAAAAAAAAATTTTGCAACTGTTTTTTGATGTAACACCTATAGCTGGGACAAGACAAAGTCCGGCTTTTAAAATTATGCTTTTATTTTTTATAGAAATGAGGATTTCTAAGAAATCTTCCAGGGGTTTGTATCATCATTTGAATTTGTGATTCATCGTGTTATACTTGATTGACTATTTCAACAGCGTGCGATGTGCGAATGGAGAAAAACAGCACACATTGTGTGAGTAACATACAATGAATAGGAATAAAAACAGAGCAATAGGCGAAATCGTGAAAAATTACTAATAGCGTGGAGTGCTTACGCTTGATTGAGTTTTATCCTTCGCTTTTCGTTAATAAAAATAGCGGTAATAAAGAAGCCAAGAGATTTATGTACGTGTAGCAGGGTAGAGCAATATAGTAAGTCGAAACTTCATTATTATACCTATCAGCCTCTTCAAAAATGTTCATCGTATATCATGTGGGACTATTTGTGAATGAGCTTAGAAACAATCAAGTCTCTAACTGGGAAGTAATAAAGTAATAGGATAGAACGAAAATTTGACGTATCGTTGTGAACGTGTTAATTCTTAAAAACAAATAAAAAGAGTCAAAACCAAAATAATCAATAACATCGTGTCAATTATACAACTTTAGTCATGTACACCTTCAAAATACTTAGGAGAGTACCATATCTACCTGAAAATACATTTGCTTTTTTTCTAGCATTACATTAATTCATTATCGTCATCGATTAAACACATTCTCTTGATGTTTTATCAACAACACATTCGGTTTTTGACGTCAGATTCTGAATCCACAACTATCGTCTTTCACAGTTTAGGATATTAATCGAAAAACGCTAGATGTTTCTGATTGTGAGCGAGTTCTCTGATTGAAGCACAATTCTAGTCTATTCTTGACGCTACAGCTTAAACAAAATAGGTATATACTTGATAATGATTGAAACAAAGGATAGTTAAGATTCTCGTTTTGTTGCGAACGACACGTTGCTAAGTGGGTACTCTACACGTTTATAATTCATTAATACGTTACAAGAAATAAGTAAGGATAAGTCTTGATCATTGGAATTGAGACTACAGTATGGGATTCTGATCCTTATACGTACAAACGAAAACTGAGTAACAGTCATTAGTTCAATAAACGCGAACTAAACATCATTTCTCGTTATACCGAGCCTGCCTATACAGATGAAAAAAGTAGTTCGTGGGATGCGGCGAGTACTCGAATAAAGGTCTTCGCCAAGGATTAGACTGCTCGAAAAATGAGACTTCGGACCCTCGATATAAGCTTTCGAGGGGTTATTGATTTCGAGTCTTCGAATTTCAGATAGGTAGCGAGCTCTTGAGAAAAATTTCGAGCCGTCGAACATAGATGTTCGGGACTTCAAAACCCTCGCTCGCCTGAGCGTGCGACGAGGGCTCGGAAGTCTCGAACATCTATGTTCGACGGCTCGAAATTTTTCTCAAGGGCTCGCTACCTACCTGAAATCTGAAGTCGATAACCCCTCGAAAATTTTATATCGAGGTCTGAAGTCTCATTTCTGCAGGGCCCATCGAAAGCATATTTACGAACACTCGAAGTACCTCTCGAACAACTGGTTGAGTGTAGATTAAAGAACGGTAGATCGTTACAGGTCTGGTGCACATGCCGTTTAACGACTGAAGTTGTATAATTGACTCGATGTTATTGTTTATTTTGATTCTGATTCTTTTTATTTGTTTTTAAGAATTAACACGTTCACAACGATACGTCAAATTTTCGTTCTATTCTATTACTTTATTACTTCCCAGTTAGAGACTTGATTGTTTCTAAGCTCATTCACTAAATAGTCCTACATGATATACGATGAACATTTTTGAAGAGGCTGATAGGTATAATAATGGAGTTTCGACTTACTGTATTGCTCTACCCTGCTACAAGTAGGTGATATCTATGTTTTGTTAGAAAAGCCTTTTGCTTACCTAAGATGATTCTCTGGTGAGACCTATCCATAGGTCTGCAATATAAGAAATAATCACATGGTTCGATAGAATTTTCATGCACATTAGGAATATCATATTTTAATTAGTTGAAGAATAGAACGAGTTTCAAATAGAACGAGAAAAATTGGATTTACGAGGATTACGGCATTAAGCATAACTGCATTGCTAGTCTAGATTCCAGCGTTACCCGAATATTAGACTCTAGAATTCGGGTAACGCTGATGTTTTCAAATATATTTTATATTCTTGTTCATAGAGAAAGATGAACAAGCTTACAATGAAAAGGAGGTACTGAGCGTTACTGGCAAGATATCAGTTTTTCTAAAAATCAATAAAAATAAAAATTAGTGATTCTAGTGGAAATCATTCAAATCGATAAATCGACAAAAGGCGCAGGATGTTTCAATTGAGAAAAAAAATTGCAATATTTAAATTTTATCGGGAACTCTTCTGCAGTTAGAGTTCTAAAGCAGCATTCTTTATCCTATAATGAGATTTATCTTATTTTTATTTTGAAAACAAAGTCTCTACATCATTACCGATATGCACACAGTGGAAAAAAATATTTATTTATTAACGATTGAGGTATCTACATCTCACTTTTTTTTAACTTTAGACTTTAAAGATGAGGAACGTGGGTAAATTTGGTAGTATTGCATTCGCGTTACTCACAATCGCGTGTTTATTTCATTTATTGGCAATGGGTTATCCAAACTGGAAAACCATTACATGTTCATCGGGATGTGAAAATCAGACTGCTCAAGAATGGACTACATCAATAAGTAACAGATGTTATGCTACGACGTTACAAAATTTTAGTTTTAATTCTGCACATCCGTTGTTTGCTACCTTATGTTTACCAAATCAATATCTGTATCCAAAAAACAAAGCCGATTTATATCTATGTTCACTGCAAATGTATGAACACCCACGCACTGCATGTGCACTAGAGAGGCATACACCAGAATGTTATTGTGCATATTCAACTTCGACTCAAGTAATACTTGCTTTTTCGGTAATTGCAAGTATTCTACTTGGAAGTTCTGTACTTATTTCACATTTTGTATCATGTGTATATAGAGAAGCCGTATTAAAATGGCTCTTGATATCCGGAGAAATATCTTTAATTATTTCTTTCATCTGCATATTTATTACGTTGATTGTTACTGGTGTATATAATACAGAAAATTTGGACTATCTCAAAGTTGTACAACAATATCAAAACAGTGAGTAGAAAAGTTGGTATATTTTACATTCTTGTTAAAACTTGTTTTCTCTAGCTACAACATCAACAGACCCGTCAATATATAGTGGCTATACTATTAAACTTGGCTTCTGTTTCGGATTTGAGATCGTGGCGTTATTGTTCAATATTGGAGGAACAGTGATTTTCTCAATTTTATTATTTGCTAAACAAAGACCGGAAGAACCGAATTAAAAAACAAAAATATTCGTTAAGAGAAGGCCTACACTCCCTATATGTACCTTCAAACTTTATCAGTTTAAAGAGGACGCCTGACTATATTTATACTTGAGTTCGTTCGATGAACCGATAACTATTCACAGAGTTATTAATTAATTAAGTTTAAATTTTAATTGAAATTGAAAGTCCTAGTCCTCATTTTAAAAAACTTGTAGTTCTGTCAAAAATAATCGTAGAAACGTCATTCCTGCATTCCTTGATAGTCGATGGTCTGTTGTCATGGTTTAATGAAAAAAGTTTTTAAGACAATAATTTATAATTAATCATGCCAACGAATTATATCACTGTAGTGCCTGACACTTTTATTTGCAAATTAACAGTTTATTGAAAACCATAAAGTAACACGTCATTCGGCAGAGATTTCCAAGCGCTACAAACGCCTCTTTATTTACCTTTCAAATGTTACTAATAAACAGTTATTTGTACTCGTTTTTAGGTAAACGGGGTTTCTACTATTGATTTCTCAATAAAGCGGCCATGGATGGTTCCTGAATAACCCAAGAACAAAAAGAGATATAGAGTTGGAGTTTTCAGCATATTGTAGAGAAGGCTTTACTCTATCTTCACATGTATTTTGTGCTGAAATCTTGGGTTTTCACATAGTGTACCTGACGGATGAAAAGCGATGTGATTGTTAGATTCTGCACCTGCAGTGGATTATTAATTGTAGCATAGTGATTAGCTAATCCAAAGCATCTTCTACAATTCTGCGCAAGATGGACCTCTCAATCTGTTGTGATTCTCGAACGGCAGGTATTTTCAAGAGTCACCCGTTATTGCTTACCATTCCGTCAGGTAAATGTCTACCATTCGAAAACCACTACAGTCAGAATTATAATAAATACTTCACTTTATCCAGCCACCATGTTACAATCCTTCAAAATCAAATTCAATTGTCCGCTTCAAACTGACATAGTTTGAAAGTACATATAAGGTGTGTGGAGCCACTCCTTAACTGCGGTGTGAACATCTTGCCAAAGATCCTGTAATAACGAAGCATGATGGAGTGAAAATCCTGCTACAAAAAATTGTGCACAATGGCCGACTTTACGTGGTTACGTTGTCTGTTTTTCAGAGTTAATGGAAAAATTTAGAAAAAAATTAAATTTAACTTTTTTTACCGACCATTTTACCGACCGACTGAAATATATTCTGAAACGCTACCTAAGATCAAAGCATTTTCTTGCCATGAATCTGACCACACTGTGATCGTTGCTATCGATACATAAAACGATACCGATAGAAAAGTATTTCGTTATGGAAGAATTTCACCATCATAAGCAAGCGTTTGAGTACTTACATCAAGTGCAAAATGACATGTATAAATAGATTACATAGTCGGCAGGGTCCCAGAAAATCGGAAGGTCAATGTCGTTCATCTGTATAATAGCAAGTGATCTTCCCATTAACCACTCTACTTTACACATCGTTCGATAGAAAATTTCACGGGCTACAGATTGACATCTTAGACAGTATCACGTAAGCTGATAGTCTAACAGCCGAAATACTCATTAGGATCACAGGAAACCGGCAGGTCAACGTCCCGTATATTTATAACGGTGATTAATTTTCTCGTTAACCACTCTACTTTACAAATCATTCCATAGAGACTTTCGCGGGCTACAAAATGGTATATGAGAAAATCTTGGGAAAATGTAACTGGGTACTCTAACAGCCGCAATACTCAGCAGCATCCCAGGAAACCAGTAGATCAAGATCGTTCATGTTTATAACGACAACTAATTTTCTCGTTAAGAGTCACTGGAAAAAAACAGTTTTCGTCTAAAATTTTAGGGAAAACACCTGAGAGGGACCTCAGACAAAAATTTCGAGGGAAACTTTTTGTCTGCCTTCAAGTTCCAACTTAGGTGGGAAAGGTTTCTCGACATGCCCGATCCAAATATTGCGGGCTTGCGGCTGGAAGCCTTGCGGATAAAAAATGTGGATAGTTTTCATTTGAGGTAAAATCGCGTTGATTGTGGTGACTGTGGTAACATTTTAAAGGCCCTGACATATAATTCAAATCTCTTCACTGTCAGCATGTTTATTCGCTTCCCTGTCGATCCTGAAAGTTCCAACTTTCTAACTATAGCGGATCAAAAGCTGACAATTTCCGAATGCATCATGGGTCCCGAAACATTGTGACCAATTAGTTTTGTAGTATAATATTCATTTTTTCTTACAAAATGTCCTCGAAGCTCAAGAACAGTTAGTCAATGAAAATAAAACTCTAGGTTTCGATATTGCCAAAACTAAACAACTTGATCAGAGTTTATTGTCGCATCATACTGATGTTATTGTCGCATTTACTGATATTTTATTGTCGCATCATACTGGTGTTGCTGTTCATCCGCCGATTCATGTGTGCCCGTTTTCCGTCGATTTATGATTCATGGACAGTATTATCATTCATTAATGTATAGTAAAAGAGGGTATTCAAACAGCTATTTCGTTGCCATTCGAGGAGCAGTTGGTTTAAAAGTTGGGAAATTATATTCTTCTTTTTTTAACTCATTCGAAAACTATTCATTCAGAATCCAACATGTCCGGATGAATCATTTGCCAGACATGTTGGAATCCGGACGACTTATTTCTGGATGAATGTCTCGATCAACTCCGGTAGCTTCTTAAAAAACCTCTCAAGTCCGGGAAAAAAATTCTAGATGAGTTTGTCACTTATAATAAAAAGCTATGCAAGTCCACATGTCATAGAGTATAATAGTAATACTAATAGTTTCATTATTAAAGTACATCTGGAGTGACTAATATACAACTGATTAACAATCGGGCTTGCATTGCCTTTTATTGCAAGTGAAAAACTCATACAGAATATTTTTTACCGGAGTTGATCGAGGTAAATTCATCCAGGAATTTTACGTACTTTTAAATCCGGGTGGAGTTGCATGGGTGAGTAGGATTTCCGGATAAAAAGTCTTTCTAGACTTAAAAACATCCAGATTTCATGACACTCCGCGCTTGAGACATTGTATTGTTTTTGAATCTGATATTTCTTTTGTTGCGACACCTGTTTCTCGTTTTGATGAACATGATTAATAAAATTGTACGGCAGTTCACGTTGTGCTTTATGCGGCGAACTTTCTCGATTCCCTGCATGTGTCGAGAAGGAGGAGTTATCTCTGTCGGTAATGCAACGAACTATTGATAATTCATTCGTTATTGGACTGAAATTTCAACCGCTAATACTCAGAACTCCACTTTCATATAGCAAATGATAATTTAAACCTGTGGAATAAAAGAAAATACCATATAACACACTGAAAAGGCAGCCTTTGGAGAGGAACTAACATACAGCAATTGGAAAATATAAAGTTTTAGGCTAGTTTTGCTTTGTTAATATTGATAGTGGTAACAATTAACCGTTTTTCATAAAGAGAAAATTGGCATTTAATTTTATGTTACAGCGAAAAAAAATGGCTGATAAACGCATTTAATTAAATGCCCTTTTTTTGGCATTTTCTAACGGTCTAAAAGTTGACATTTAAATGGCACAAAAAATGTGACCAGCAGGGTTACTGGCAGCAGTTAAATGCCTGTTATTTGACCATTTTTGACATTTAGAAAAATGCGAAATAAATGCATTCGTTTGAATTAGTTAAAAAATTGAAACAGAGGAAGGCGGGTATAAATGAGATTATGGCTAGTTTTGATGTCGAATCATTATATGCAAGTGTACCAGTGGGAGAAGCAATAGATATTGCAGTCAACAAAATATGGTCCCAGAATAAAAAGAAAAAGTTGATGAAATTGACAAAAAATGAATTATATATTTTGTTCAATTTAGCATCGAGAACTGTTCAATTTCGTTTCTATCACCTAACTTATAGACAAGATGGTGGTGTTTCAATGGGTAGTCCATTGGCACCAATACTAGCCAATTTGTTTATGAAAAAACTTGAAAATGAACACATACTAATACCGGGTAACGATCGAATAATAAAAACATGGATTAGATATGTGGATGACATTTTTGTTATATTAAATGGTGGTGAAAATGATGCTTTAGTTTTACTTGATACTATTAACCAACTTCATAAGCAAATAAAATTTACACTTGAAATAGAGAAAGATGGTGTGTTAGCATTTTTAGACGTACTGATAATGAAACAAAATGACATATATGAAACGACCGTCTATCGGAAGAAACAAATACTAACTTGTACATGAAATGGGATTCTACTTCACCACGTTATCAAAAAATTGCCCTAATTAAATCGTTAGTTACCAGCGCTCTTCGAATATGTTCAAATCAACAATTATTAGATATCGAGTTAGCATGGCTAAAGCAAGCCCTGAATGAGAACGAATATCCAGAAGCTCTTTAGAGAAGATAATCGAAATAACAATGAAAAAGAACACGGAGAAGGATAGTCAAAAAAAGTCTCTAATGCACACTAGTCCGGAGACTAAAATTGATGTAAACATTTCCTTTTATTATCTAGGAAACGAATCACGTAAATTCATCTCTAGTCTCAAACGACTGTTAGACAAAGTTGGTATACGTAATATTCGTTTCGGATTTAGAAAACATAAAACAATCGGTAGTTCACTCTGACAGAAATATAAAGGCAAAGACTGGCGGAAAGTTGGAGTAGTGTATAGTATTAGTTGTAATGATTGTGAAAAAGTTTATGTAGGATAAACCGGTAATGAAGTAACGCTAAGAATGGAACAGCATAGAAGAAAAATTGTACAACAAGATATGGATGCAAAAATAGCTGTACATGCCACACAAAATAATCATAAATTGAATTTGACAGAACCGACAGTTATGGCTTATGAAAGAAACGAAATAACACGGCAGATAAAAGAAACACTTTTAACAGATTTACACAGAGAATTGGCCTACAATAACATATCTTTAAAGACTATGATATTCTAATCATCTCTTTTCTAATTAAAGTTGCCTGGCGTATTAAATGGCATTTAATTGGCAATTAATTACATCGTTTTCGACGTCCCGGGGATAAGAAAGATAACGAAAATTTACGTAGATCGAACGTATTAAGAATTTAGCACCAGTAGCCTGCCTACAAATCTGAATCTGATACAGATGAAGGTAATGACACTAGTGCAGAAGTCAAATCTGCTTTACATTTACATGAAATTAAAACTAAACATGAAAAACGCGTAACTCTGCTACCGGAATCTCTGTGCGTTACCGGTTTTTCTTTTTTCGTCTATTCTATAATTTTCGGAAAGAATATCGTAGGATCCTGGAAAGCGTCTTGTTTTGTAGAATGAAGTGCGTTCTTCAAAATCCACTACTAGCTCAATTCGAAATAATTGATGACTTTTTGGTTACAATCGAAATACTAAAAGCCCTAAAAACAAACGACAATGTTTTTGGGGCTCTTCCTATTTTAAGTACAGCATAAAAAGTGTCAATTATTTTGAACTGAGCTAGTGGTGGATTTTGAAGAACGCACTTCATTCTACAAAACAAGACGCTTTCCAGGATCCTACGATATCCTTTCCGAAAATTATAGAATAGGCGAAAAGAGAAAAAACGGTAACGCACAGAGATTTCGGTAGCAGAGTTATACGTTTTTCATGTAAACATAAAATTGACTGGGAAGGATGAAAGATTTTGTCAACAGATTCTTACAAGCCTCGTCTCCTCGTTGGTGAATCACTACAAATCCTTAAAAATGCTGTTTTCACCTAATACTTAACTGAATGAATGAATGTATTTTGACTAAAGATGTTACATAGTCAGGAAACAGTAAACAAGCAAAAAAAGAAAGTTTCGCTTATTTAAGAGGCACTGTTGCCGATAGTGAGGGAGAAAAAATGAATCACAATACAGTGCGAGAAAAAGAGAAAGAACAACAATAGTCTTTATGAGTCGGAAGAATAGCAGAAAGATCAAGAACATACTAAAAATAATTTACATGATTTCTGAGAAGCATTTGAAATAAATTTAAATTGGCCAGTGTGTGCTATTGAGGGAGGAAGATCATTCCACTGCTTAGAAGTGACGGGTAAGAAAGAAGAGGATGAAGCTTTTGTGGAAAAATGTGTAGTGAGAACCTGTTTGTCATGCCCAAAACGCATAGATTTCCGATTATGAGAAGGTGTAATGAGGTTAAGATGTGAAAGAGGACTTGTGCCATAGTAAATTTTATGGAAATGAATGAGTTTGAAATAGAGTCTACGATTTTCGAGACAACAAAATTTTAATTTGGAATGAAGTGTTATCGGATCGATCGAGTAGTCTTTCATTATAACTCTGGCGGCCAAACACTGCACATCATCCATAATAGACAGATGTGATTTAAATGAACTGTCGTATAGAATACAAGCATATTCAAGAACCGGCCTGACACATACTTTGTAGAGATGAAGACGGAGATATAGTGGTGCGGTGCCGAACACGCTAGAAATAACATCCTTCTGCATGTAGCAGCCGTTTGATTTATATGTTCTTTCCAAGTTAGATTGTGAACAAGATGTACTCCGAGCAATTTTAAAGAAGAAACATTCTCAAGCGAAATGCCATTTGGTTTCAGTTCACCTAACTTAATTGTACTGGAAAGAACAGTAAAGAAAACAATCCATTGACATTTATTAGTGCTAAGTTTCACTAGCATCCTCTCACACCACTCCGACATTTCGTTCACACATTCTTGAGCTGCGCATAATTTGCATATTCAAGATCCACAACACAGAACTGTATGCACTTCAGGCCATATCGACCGTTAACTACACGGAGGAAATAAAATTGTGAAACTCATGACGATTTTTATACGCGGTTTCTCGCAGTCAGTTTGGCATGGTTTTTTTCACGGTTTTAGTTGTTCATGCTTTTGTTTCCTATGGTTCCTATATGACAGTTTTGCTTTGACGGTTTTAAAACTATTAGAAAAATTATCCAGGTAAAACTGTGCAAGTAAAACCGTCCACTTTGAAAGGAAAGAAAAAAAGAACAGGTCCTCCAGGAATCTAACCTGAGACGCTTGGCGAGTATGAAGCATGAGACCAAGACACAAACCACTGAACTGAAGAACTTACAGAAGCGTGTCTTCGCACTGCATACTCATCATGTTCTCGGGTAGATTTCTGTAAAAACGGCAGCATCTTACGAAAAGCTGTCGCTGTTGAATTTGTAAAGCTCCTCGCTGTCGTACATGTATTTGAGATATAAAAGAGAAACGCTAACTGTATAAGTGTGCGCATATATCATATGATACCATCGAGTGTATTCTGTGACGAATGTCTAGAAACTTATGGTTAGGAGAAGATATTCACTATACTCTTTCTCTCTACCTTCTGAGACTATAGGCATCAGGACAATTTCAAGATAATCCCAGTTTCAAAGAAAAGAATTTGTAAAAAGGAAAAAGTTCACAAAACAGACACTGGAAGGCGTCTTTCCCTCCTCCCTGTCGCAAGTGCCAGTTTTACTCACTTATCTGCCCGGGGCTATGCTCTTTACTGAATAATCCTGAGTGTGAGATAGATTTGCCGAGAAGCCGAGCCTAGAGAACATTTCACGAGTTCTCTAGAATTGGAACTGTAACAGTCCTAGTGGTAGGTGCACAAGGGGTAAATAGCAGACTCCATCTGACTCCACACGACTGGGTCCCATTGTTTCCCCCTTAGGTGGGTGGGCAAGGGTCAAACAGCAGACTCTGGGCTTCACTTGACTCCACTTGACCGAAGCGGTAACCGGGCAGTATTTAACCGGTTTTGACGACATGGGCTCACAATTACATGAAAATTATAAAATGGGGAATGTGAGCACCTCAGCGCCTGACAGTACATATAAAAGTTTGATTTTAACTGTAATAAACTTCGGTAGCAAAATTGATTCACTAACATCCGAAAGCAATCTAGATAAGTCGCAATCTGCTTAGTAACAGCTTGCACTAACAGTTCCAGGCGCAATTAGTGGTAGCGATACTAACAACTTGCTTAAAGATCCCGGGTGGTTTTCTACTAGCGATCTTTGTCAAATAAACCTTTTGTGCATATTCTTCAAAATGAAGCATGGCTTAGTGTGTGTGCATGACAAAGAACATATATTCCTCCCCATCATCACCTTCATAGTAACGCCAGACAGGAAATATATAATTATAGCTTGACATTTCAAACTTCCTTTTTTCTAACTATGATTCGAATATGGAATAAGCTCATAGTACAGTCACTCCTACTATACTTCAAGACGAAATCAGTAATATTCAGGAAAGGTTTAAAAGCTAGTTTGATACTAATTTTGTGAACATACAGGTTACCACTGACAGCTACTCTACGCGTGGAAGCTATTTATTGTCGTCTCGAAGTAGATTTTCGTGCTCTAAACTTTAAAATTTACCAAAGTTCCCTTACTGTACGCACCGGGACTCGAAACAGGCCAGGCTACAAGTTATAGGCCTGCACCAGGCTAAGACGGACCAGGCCTAGACTGAAATAGATTCAAGCAGACCTTTGAAAACACCAGGCGGCCTAGCCTAGAAAATTTGCGTATTTTTATTCACAATCTAGCATTTTGGCTGTAGATGTCGTTATGATTTGGAAGTTTCGCAGTGTGAAACTATGTACTAGACTGAAATACAAATCCTGAGACGGTTGAGGATATCTTATTAGTTAGATCAGTTCAGAAAATACTTGAACAAAAACCAAATTTTTTTGCTTAGATATATTCTTCAGTTATCTGTTACTTTTCTTTCTATCATATGTTACTATTATTTGTACATTTTGTTTATTAAAAAAATTACCGGGCATCTACAGACTAGGCCAGGCTAGGCCGAGAGCAATGGTAGGCAGGCAGGCAAGCCCCAGAAAATATTTCGACAGGCGCAGGCAGATCTAAACATTACAGGCCTGACGCAGGCAAACCAGGCCTCAAAATTGTCGGCCTGTTTCGAGCCCTGGTATGCACTGCATGTCACTATTATCTTCTATAGACATTAACCATTTCTAGAAGAAGACATTAACCATTTCTTTTTAGAATGTTCCAATTACAATAGTTATAGGAGTTTATAGTTTTAAGTATACGAAGCAATTTGTCTCTATAGTAAGAAAACTGCTCTTTTTTAAATAATAAATGAAATTCATGTTTATCAGTAAATCCAATATACTTTTCCTAAACCACATTTGATTAAATCTCGTGCTTTTCTCCATCGTTTCTGCTCCTCGGTTTGGTGGCTTTTAGATCAAATCGTCCTACCTAGTAGCGTACTATGTTAAATGTGTCTGTTTGTCATTTGCTCAGATACGTCTTTTATTTCATTTCTTCCTTAGTAACTTTGCTTTTTATAGGTTTTTTTATTATTCAGTAGCGATAATTATCTAAAGATTCTCAGCATCTTATGAAAGTAGCTCCTGAACATGTAATGAGACTAACGTCTCAATTTGTTCGATATTCTTTTATTTTCTCAAATAAATAAAGTTTATATTAAGTAAATATTAACTGCGTAGGCTCATTTCATAGAACATTCACTATAACTACTAAATCCAATTTTTAGACTTTCATCTCTAAAAATAACTGAGTTAGAAATATCACTAACTTCCAAAATAATTGTTCTTTCTGACTAATCTACAAAAAAACCGGTCTTTTAGGTAAGTCTACATAGGCCAAAATCTATTTTTTAGAGCAGATAGTGTTTTTGCGGTTTGCAACCTATCCTATTTAATCCTCTAATTTGATTGATCCTTTCAAAGATAACGTTGCTCTCTTTTCGTTTCTACATCAAGTTTCTACTGAAGGGGTAGTACAATTACGCGGACACGAGCAATATCAGGTTCAAAGTTTCGCTAGCAAAAGAAGGCAGGAAAACTCACCATTTCAAGAATCTTTCAAACAAGTGTTTCTCTATTTAATTTAACGTGTTGATTTCAAATATAACATTAATTTTGACATTAGAATGTCTGTTAGTGGTAATGTTGAATCTGAGTGAAAAATTTGTTTCTTTTAATCTTCTTTGCGTAATTGTGGTGCTATTTCAGTGAGAAATATCTTGTTCTTTAGAGACTTTTCTACTCTACAAGTTGACATTAAACAAATTAGGTTAAAGTATGAAGTGCTGGAATGAAAATCACTTTAGATGAAAAGTTTTGCTTTTAAGACTTCAATATATTCGACTTTTCTTCAGGTAATTTTAGGCTGATAAACTGAAAAATATTTTGTTTAGACCTATGTTTAATTGAGAATTTTAAATAGTGAATGAGTGGGATGAAAGCAAACTTCAAGCATGTCGTTTTTTGCTTCTTTTTGTGAAATCCATGGTTCAATCGTCTTAACACATTGCCGCGTGAGTTAGATACAACTCACACCACGTGGTATTAACATAAACGTGGCGCTTAATGTGTTAAGGAAAATAATCTAAAAGTTGAAAAGAGTGTAAGACTTGTCTGGATGCTCTGCCGAATGAACCAAATTAGAACGGCTTTTTTGGTTCTAAATGTTTCTTTGAGAGCATGCTACTGAAGCACAGCTCTGGCTTAGAAATCTTTATATTTTCGCTAACCTTTATCAATCAGGCCATTTTTTGGGCTTTCAGAACAAAAGCAAAGTAGTTATTCTCACCTAACGTCATCGGCATCAATTGTTGGGATATTTATTTGAGTTATAGTGTTAATTGGAACTTGTACAGCTAAAACATTAAGTTCTCGGTTAACATCAAATTTCTCCTGTCAAGCAAAATAACTAACGTGATATTATTGTTGCGACAGGCGGTGTATTTATGCACCCATCTGGTCTCAGTGTCAGATCAGTACAAGCTGTAACAGTCCATCTGTACTTGTACAACTAGGAGGCATCTGTACTTGTACAACTAGGAACGGTTGTTGCAGCAACTGTTGATTGTCGTGTAGTCGTGTGATGTGTTGTAGTAGTACATGCAGGATGAAAAGGTATACCACACAAAGCGCGTTTTCGTCGTTTACCACTCGAACCACAATTTGTTGATTGAACAGCAATCCATGCACTCGATGAAAATGTAACACAGAATTGAGAATCAGCCGTCAGTGATTCAATAGAAGAAACTGAGCCTGACATTGATTTAAGAGTAGCACTATATCTGTACAATACTCTTGAATGGATAACGACGAATAGTTACCACAAGAGCTTGTTGAACAAACCAAATAGCCATCAGTTCCACCACTGCCAAAGAAAGTTGATGTTATTTGATGTCCAGATATCATTGATTGATCACAATTCACAGTTGGCCATGTCCATTGGTAACTTTGTGTAATCATTACTTGAATTGTATCACCAGTAGCTGAACTATATAGAGGTTTCCATGAGACAGATCCATCGTGAAAGTGAGCCCCGTCTGAGCATAATTAAAACAAAGTTAATTTTTTTGATAAGATTATATCTTCTTTGATTGTGTTCGATATTGATATAAACTACCTTTCTTCCTTTGCTTCT